GTGGCATTAAGGCCAGTTCTACAGGAGGGGGATGCCAGCCCCCCCCACCCAACCCACTGTTTTTCTATCCCGCCCAGTGGTCAAGCGGTGGCATCCTGGGCGACAATACTATATATATATATATATAGCTAGCATAAGTTAAAGGCCCATATTCTATGCAAAAAGTTGAAATCTTTTAAGGATTAAGTCAACTAACTATGTAAAGAAAAGACTGGAAAATATACTTTTGTATTGTCAAGAAAGTTACATAATGGGCCTTTAACATATCATGATATATATATATATATCTACACCTACCAAGACAGACCAGTCTCTACAATTTGCATATTATCACCCTCTGGCTCATACACCTTCACCTTTACATGCGGTAGCATCAGTTCACCTGCGACCTGCCTTCTAATGCAGACTTTCCATCTCTCCTCCAGGTACTCCTGTTCCCTCTTGTAGGTTGTCGATCTGAAGTGATGGACAGGAGGTTCTGGGATGTGGTTGGAACCTGGAGCATCCAGAAACAAGATACCATCTTCCGTTCTCTTCCACCAAACTCCTTCTCCTTGCACCAGAAAGTCTGCGATTCTCTCAAGGTGTGGTTGATAGTGTCCGCGAAGGCTAGGCTTTGTTAAGTACCGCCAGGGGATCAGGGTGTTTTGGGGGGGAAGAATCACACGCAGGTTTCTCCCAAGGCTAGATACTTGACTTTCATCCTGTGACACGTTATCAGCGTTGCCTCTTTGCTCAGCTTGTAGCCTTAAGACCCCCATTCCTACCACTTCGCTTGGCCTGCGAGATGATGTTTGGCCGAGAATACCCTTCAGACTGTCGAACATCCGTTCCTGGTTTTCAGCATTGACCGACTTGAGGTTAACTATTCTGTATAACATTGGTGCATGGGTTGTTAGCGAATGCCAATACTGGCCGTACAGCTTTCTCTTTGTGATCGATTTTGTTTCTGTGCCAATGACTTCTCTGACAAGGATACCATGAAGATACGTCTGGTTTGCCAGTCTCAAAATCTGCTGATTTGTCCTGTCCTGTTCACCAAGGTACAGGATGTGGGTTATGTTGCACAAGGATTCTAGCAGTGCTATAGCCTTTGGGTTACCATCTTGTGTTGCCATTTTGACTGTTACTGTTAGTAAGTGTTTACGGTAATCGACTCCCCTTTGCATTTCTTTGCCCTGGAACATTGCAGCCACCTCCTTCATTGCTGCCTTATCTTTGTCACATAGATGATTAGGTAACTCTTCTAAGATGTTCTTAATATGTTCCTTTGAATTGTGCAGGGCCTCGCATGGGGCGATTTCATACTGTCCGAGATTTAGCTCGTCTACAGTTCTGTGTTGGTCACCATACAGGAGGGCTGGGACATTTGATACACCTGCTAGATGTTCTCTTAACTGCTTTTCTAGTCCAGGCTTGTTGCACTCCAGATCAAAGTCAATGTTTGTTGCATCCAGGTTCCTGATGAGGTCTTGTTTCTTCAGGGAGTTGAACGGCGCAATTCCTCCCTTTCGTCCTGCTGGCATGGACTCTACTAGTAGCCTTCTGTCTTCCATTGACTTTACAGGCCGCCGCATGCAAAAGCCTAGATCACAGAACCTTTCGATAGGCGCACCACAACCAGCAGAACAGCCATATAGACCCTAATGTTGTTCTCCCACTTCAAGCCATTCTGCAGGACTATCCCCTGTGAAGATAGGCATGACATCAGACGTACAATGGTCTTCATACTCCATATCTTGCATGGTTTTGATGTCTTTCCTTTGACAGCTTGAATATCTTAACTGTTCGGCAATTGATGATTTGCACCGTGCCAGCAAGTACAGCTCTGATTTTTCAACAAGACTCTGGATGTTGATGTATTTTCCTTGTTCTTCCATTTCTTCTTGTGTGTAATATACTGCTGTATCATAGAGGGTGTGTATAGTGCCCATCAAGTACCCGGAGTTGAGAAGGGTGCTGTGGTCATGCCACCTACATTAAGTACCTCGTACTTCTTAGCTTTGCTAACTTCTCCTGTTTTTCTTTCAGTGTCAGTGACTCGTCATTCTCATTAATGGCTATCAGTTGGTCTGTTACAGTTCTTAAATCCATCTTGTCACACTCTTCAACAGGCCTGATTAAGCCTTGTTGTACTTGCTTTTTCAGCAGATTTGCTTGAATGTCCTTCAGGGGGACTTTTCTCCCAGTTTCAATCGTGACCTTCTCTAACACTTCCCCCTCCTCTACCACAATCTTTTTGTTTGTTGTGGGGACAATGGGTTCTCCCATTGACAGCTCTCCATTTTCAAGCATTTCATTTATGCTGTTTTTGATCTTATCATTAGGTCTTGTCCTTGCTGTGCTTATTTCTGAGTACACCTTTCCCAATGCTCTCCGAGCCTTCGCTGGGCGGTGCCTGAAGGTCTTCAAAGATGATGTGTTTACATGCTGATCATTCAAAACTGTTTTACGACTGCACCGCCATGATGTTTGTTGTGAATACCGAATCTTCTCGCCAAGTCTGCATACACAATCTGAAAGTGTAGAATATGTACACCTATATTTACCACTGCAGACACTGTCAGGGACAGTACTGCTCATGGCATTACTACCATTTAAAATGTCACGCTACCTTTAATTTGTTAGGACACCAACATCATACTGTGCATCTCATAAACAAATGCATCATGAACAATATTAGTATAACATGTTAGCTAATAGAGTTTTAATTTTAACCATAATTAACCGTTTTTAATGAATGAGAGGACAAGGTTATATTAAATTTTTGTCATTTCTATTATTTTTCAAGCACCCTTGCATTAGATTTGGGATATATGTCATCCTTGTAGTCTTGATGTAGACTGAAGATTAGACAAGGTCTCTTCTTGTTCTTACCTTAACAGACTGACAGTATTTTATCTTCTAGGACAAGTTGCAATAGATTTAGGATATCCAGAGAATAACTATTCTTGCCAGGCTCAAACACTTAAGATAAGAAGTTCCTGAGACTTTCTCTCACCTTTTTATCTTCTACCACTCATGCATTAGATTTCAGATATCTATGATAACTATACATTTTGTATGTCAGGCCCAAAAACTGATAAGACAAGGTTCTTGAGACTTGTTCTCACCTGTCTTCCTTTTCCCAGGTGCAGGTGGGTTAAGGTTTGTCCTTGATGGGGCAGTAAATGCGGATGGGCACCTGCGCTCACCTTCATGGCCCGCTTCAGACTCACATCAAGCTCCACCTCAGGGGCTTCTGTACTCAGGAACAGGAAATATTGTCAGACTCAAGTCTAACCACATAGAAAGCTACCTAATCTGAAAACAACTCCTTAACTACAATATTACCTGCTACCTTGCATGAATCAAGCTATATTGACCAGGAAGTACATGTATCTTTAATCTTATCTATGTGACTTTATACATATTACATAACTTTATCTTATTCAAAAGATTGTAGATTTCCCTTTAAGCATTGATAGTTGAAAGGTTTATTGAATGAAATGCATGCAGAGGCATCACCAGAATCCTACGTTTTGTACAACAGGTATGGAAAAACTGCAAGAGAGTCAAGGCTTCTCTTTATCTAAAGCTTCAATGTTCTTGAACTAGCTTGCTATGTTATTCTCCACACTGAGTATGCCATCCCAAGTATTGTACAACAGGCATGAAAAGACTGCATACAAGAGAGTCAAAGTTTTTCTTAAGCCTCACACATTTCAATTTTCTAGAACTAGACTTGTTATACAATCCACTCTCTTAGCATATGAGAATTTAATTACCAGGAGGTTTTCACTACATTCAAGCTTCAACTTATTGTTCTAGACTCTACATTAAAGAAGAAATTCTCCTCAATTAACTCACCGAGCATGTCACGGGCGAAGACCACTCTGTCCACCTCTCCGGGCTCGCCGACGCCGATCTCATTGATGGCGCTGACGCGGAACTTGTAGCCTTGTCCCTCTGTGAGTTTGTCGATGGTCAGTTCGGTCAGCCGCACAGCCGAGGTGGCGTGGGCCTTGGTCCACTCCTCACCGTCCTGCGGCCGCATCTCCACGATGTAGCCGGTCACACGGCTGCCTCCATCGCGCACGGGCCGGTTCCACATCAGGGACACGGAGGAGCGTGTGGTGTCGTCAACAAACACAACAGGAGCTCCTGGTTTACCTGAAGGAACAAAAGGGATTTTTTATCATCACATGCATATCTTCATATGCAAATTCTAAACTTTGAAGATACCTTGCAATGAAGGAATGTAATTAAAGGAAAATAAAAGAGATTTTATCA